ATTTGTGTAAAGTGTGAAACTAGAGTGCAAAGTCGTGGAATAGTTGCGCAAAATGTGATACTGAAGTGTAAAGTAGCGGAATAGTTGTGCAAAATGTGATACTGAAGTGTAAAGTAGCGGAATAGTTGTGCAAAATGTGATACTGAAGTGTAGAGTAGCGGAATAGTGGTGCAACATGTAAAACAAGAGTGTAAAATAGTGGTGTTATGTGTGAAACTATAGTTTAAAATAGTGGAATAGTGCAAAGTGTGAAACTTTGCACTAGTTTTCCACTACTATGCACTCTAGTTTCACATTTTGCACCATTATACCATTACATATACTTTGCACCACTTTTCCACTATGTTGCACTCTCGTTTCACACTTTGCACTCCAATTTCACTCTTTGAACCACTTTTTTACTAATATGCACTCTAGTTTGAAACTAGAGTGAATAGTAGTGAAAAGTAGTAGTATAGTGGTGCAAAGTGAAAAACTAGAATGCGAGATGCATGAAAGACGCGCGTTGAACGTCTACCACAAAAATCGAACGATTTGATTTTGAACTTGAATTTCTTAATTTCGTAGCTCACATCGACCGACCCATCTTCGACAGAGGAATATTGCTTCCGAATACCCTTAATTAATCGAAATTGCCTATCATCAAATGTGTACAGCAGGAAATGCCCCCCAAAATATTTTCGAGTTTGTCGAATCCCACACGATGTTTGACGCCACTATGACACTATGACCTTTGTTTGTCCTGTTTTTACATTCGATTTCACGCATAATGCGTGATTCTCGCAGTGAACGGAAAATGGTCAATTAAACTGCACCTTTTTTAATACATGTTTATTCAGCAATTACTTACCATTATTTTGAACTGTATTGATTAAATTACGTTTCTTTAATGTACTTTGTGCATAATTGTTTAAATAATTTATTTAAAGGTGTCATTTGTGTACCTTATATGAACTTGTAAGTAACAATCTCTCGTAACACTCATTTGTACAGTGCGAGTCATGTGCATTAAAGTCACGTTAAGGTGACGCTGCAGTATATTCATAAGAGTTTTAAACAATAAATTATGCTACTGGCAAATACGTTAATATTGTCATGTTATATACCATATGAAAGCTTATTTTGCCAGCTTTTTAACAGTATGGTGCATTTTTTGTGGTTGCTAGCAGTATCAAAAATGGGTTGAAAATGTTCGTTTTTGGCTAAATTGTGTTTAAAACTATTTAGCTTCCTAACGCTTAGGTTTATCGAATGGCAGTTTGACAAAAGTTTTTTCACAATGCCTTCTAAAAGTTTCACACTTTTAAATAGACCCATAACGCTATTGCCGATTGTCAATGAGGTTACTTTTTTTCTTCTAGAAACAATAAATCCATACGACGCACTTTGAGTGTACAAGACCGGAACAATTGTTCCTGAAAATTTCAAAGGAAATGACAAAATAGTTTGGTCACACAGAAACCAGAACCCACACAGGAGTGTGAATATTTTAAGTCTTACAGAAAAAATCTGTTAATGTGGCTCGCAATAATTTGAAACAGAAGCAATCGTTGTGAATCAACATGTTTTTGACACTCTTCAAAGCATTAACAAAGAGATTTGAACACTTATATCAAATGGAAAGTCAAATGATCATCTGCAGTCTGACGTGGTTAGCATCATTAAAACGTTTAATTTTACACT